TAACAATTTGAACGGTGGTTACAGATGAGAAACTTAACCACGAAAAAAATATCTAACATTTTTTGATGCTATCATTAATTTTTCAAGCAATTAATGTTTTAATGTAATTAATAAGTGTTGGCATACGTAATAAGTTCTAATACGTGATTAATAATTTGTAATGTACTTATTAAGTTTTAATACGATTAATAATTTTTATTATGAACAGTTAATATGTTTTTATGTAATTTTTATGTTTTAAAGAATAAAATTCTAATTTTATTATAATTAATAATTTGTAATAAATTTGTCATATAATGTTAGTTTTATTAGTTGTGGTGATGCACAGCACTTACATGAAGGCATGTTTATTCTTCAATTTAAAAAATAAATTAAATATTGTAAAATGAATAACATGATGAAGTAAATGAAAAAAACACCAGTAAATCATTTAAATAAAACCAGAAAACTGTACATTGAAAACAATTTTTAATTGTCTGATAGCTATTGAAAAAGTTCTGTTATGTAATCAGCATATACGATACTTTCAATTTTTTTTCAAACATTATGTGCAAATTTAAATAAATATTCAAGCGAATGAGTGGACAAATCAACAAAAAACAAACGAACAAACAAAGAAATATTGTCATAAAATAGCCACCAAAAAAATTAACAAATACACACACACACACGCAAACAACATTTTTTTATTAAATGAGCGGTTTCAGGTACACGCACGCACGCACGCACACACACATACACCATACCAACCAAACAGTCAATCAAACTTATACTTATAGCTCATATACTTACATAATTAATTAATTAATCAGTCAATTAATCCAACAAATATTTAAACATTTTCAAACCAATCTTTCGATAGTTATTGTCGACAAATATTTTTTAATTGCCATCGTAATATCCAGCCATGTTGTTCTCAACAACCGTTGGCTTGCCATAGTAGCCTGGTTGTATTCCTTGGGCACCGTTGCGGTATCCTAGCAGGCCGTTGTAGATGGATTTAAAGCTTGGACGTCTCCCAGGCGTAGGGTCCCAGCATTTCATCATTATCTGATCGTAGCTTTGGTGTTTTTGTTTTTTTTTTAGTTTAATTTTCTAATTAGTTTTCAATAATGGAGTCGATATTTTTTAAAGATAATTTTGAAAAATAAAAAAGTAATGCATTATTTATGACGTCATTAAATTTTAGGCAGACAGTATTCGAACCCGGTTATTTCGTAATGAGAGCAAGAAGCCTGGCACTTTTACCGACTGAGCTAACTCGCCAAACGTTATGATAATATTAATAGCAACAATAATAGAATCAGGTACGGATGTACTTACATATCCTTAGGACATTCTTCCGGACAATCCGGTCTCACTCCCTTCATCAACACGTCCTTTATCTGGGTACTCCTGTACTCATCGAAGGGCGACTGTCCTGGATTGGATAGTTTCATGTTCAAAAATAAAAATTATCCTGATAACTTTTTTGATCTATTTAAATGATGTAAAAAATAAAAAAGAACGACAAAAAGATCACTAAATCATTTTACCAAAGCCAAATTTCATTGTAATGGCTAAAATTTTGAAAAATTTCCCCAAACGCCAAGTTGCAAATGTAAGCAAGTTTTGCAATCCTAACTTCCAGAACGAATATATGTTACACTATGACTACATTCATTAAACAAAAACTCCAATATGCGATCGAGACCATGCTCACCTCCAGTATAAATCTCCCAGACGGTGATGCCGTAGGACCAGGCGTCGGTCTTCTCATCGTATGTTGGTTTCCTGCAGTCTAGTGTGGCCAGAGTTTCAGGGGCGCACCATTTCATAGGAACCACGCTCTGTCGGCAGGTTTCAAATCAACATTGACATCTTTTAAATAATTAGAAATTTTACTATTTCAAGTTGGGTTGAACGCTGTTGTAATTGTTAAGATACTTGTTGCAGAAACTGTGTTCGAATACACAGCGATCCCCCCTAACACGTGCAATTTGCGTCATGCACTCATTTACAAGTTTTTACAAATTTAATGCACGTTTGTTGCTGATTCTTGTAAGAAATGCTAGAAATAGAATTGTAAAAAATGAATTAAGGAAAAGAATGTAGCACTAACGTCATTGCTATCACTGCTGTCATCTCTCGATGGACCGAAACCGATCAACTTGGCTTCATAACCGTGACGAGTAACCTTCAAGAGGACATTACGTGCAGCTAGTTTTCTGTGAATTATCTGAAACAATTTATTATAAAGTATAAAACATTCAATAACTTTTTGATAGAAACTCCAAAGATTAATCAAAATCACACAACTGAAAACCATTCCATGCTGACGATGAAGTAATTCTATGATGCAGTACAATTTCTAATCTATTTTTTATGCAATTGAAGTAGATACCAGTTTAGTCTAAATAAAAAAAAACCAACTTTAGAATCGTGAAGATGCTTGACACCATCTGCAATCTGGATGGAAAAGTTCAGCATGTTATCCAGTTCTGACGTGGAGATGCTGTTGATACTGCTGAGCCAATCTTTCAGCGGTAGGTCGCATAACTCCAGCAACATGGTAGGATCTTTTTAAAAGTTTATTTTTTAATTTCTTTTCAATTTTTTGACAATTATTAAAAATTGATTTAAAAAAATCTTTAAAATATATTGAAAACCGTATCTCACAAATACTACAAACAGTTATTATCGTCTTGGAATGCTCCGTAAAATTTCAAAATGTTGGCGTGTGGCTTCACTTGAGATGCCATGAACAGAATTTTTGACCTCATGATCTCATCGTCTCTATCCATTATGTTCTCTGATTTTTAGTGTTTTTATTTATAACTTCATGTTTTTGTTTATAATCATTATTAACGGTTTTTAAAAAAATTAATTTTGTTAAAAACATTTTTATCAGCTTAATATCATTAGTTTTTAGATAATAATAACAGAATAAATTTTTCAGTAACCAACTTTTCAAGGCTTTCACAGCCACGTCGATTGACTTGCCTCCCTGCTGCAAAACTCCTTTACTAACATCCGCGAATCTCCCAGAAGCTATGTTCTCGAGAATCTTCACGTCACTTGCTTCAACTTGAAAGCCTGGAGTTTGTTTGCATTCGTTTGTCACTTTGCTGCATCCATATTGAGGCTCTTTCGATTTCTGAGGTTTTTTTAAAGATTTTATTTTATTTGAATGTCTGAGAAACTTTGAAAATATTTGAAAACTTTTACTTTAATAATGATTATATATATTTATTTATTTATTCAATTCGGGAACAGCCAGAATACCAAAAGCTCAACAAATTCGAAATTTAGTATTCACCAAACATAACACATGGCATCGGTAGGAAAGTTCCAAATGAATATAACGACAATCATGTACAGACGTCACCGAAGCAGAGCAATATAATCTCATTAATATTTAAGCAGTGTTGCCACAAGTATGAATAGATACGAAAACAATAGTTAGTTACCATGATGTAAGCATCATTGGAGACGTACAGTTCGTTGTCCTCCAGTTCCTTACGATGCCACTTCTCAGGGAGAACGTTGGCCATGGTCTTCATCCTCCTTGCTACGTTGCTGTAGGGCTTCTTTTTGTACATGAACAGCAGAACTGCTATTACGATCAGCAAGGCAATAACTGTGCGTTGTTGTTTTTTAACAATTTTGAAAGAAATCATTGCCATGTTTTATTCAGAGTTAACAAAGGCCCGCGTGAATAATTTTTGTAGTAATTTAAGATGATTTGAATAGATGTTGATTATTGAATTAGCAAAACGGCTTTCTGAAACATCTTTCATTAGATAGTTAAACATCTTTCAATAAATAGTTAAACATCTTTCAATAGATAGTTAAACCTTCATGTACACAAAAAATATCAACCTAGTATAACTCCGAATGCAATGCCGACTTTTTGTCCCACTGTCAGAGGCGGGTTTCCTGTGAAATGAACATCGCAAGAATGAAATTACTTCAAGAACATTTTGAAAAATTGCACATTAGTTGGAAACAGTGATATGGTACTTATTATAAGTACTGGACACTTAAGTACTTGACACTTAAGTACTTTTACTCGTTATTTCACGTGTACTTACTCGTGCTTGTAATTGAAGTTTTTCAAGCACAACATAGAAGTACTTTGCAAAAATTTACAAAATTATAGTTAGGAATTTTAAAGAGACTAATATTTTGTTTGGAGGTTTCCTAACCCGACCAGGTCAAAATTGAGCCAGATTTCAGATGTGAGCAGAATTTTTTGTCATCAACATGCACCTTGTACATTTATTTGTCTACAGGAAACATGCATGCTAGTGTGTGTTATTCAATTAACGTATTGTTTATGAGTGAAATGATCAGAAGAGTGAAGAATTACGATTGTATCGCTTCGACCGTCCAATTAATGTGACTATCTTGATTATATCTTAATTACTTTTGTGTAGACGGACACTAACACCAAAAACATAGATCAAGAATATCAAGAAGATCAAGAATCAAAACGTGTTAACTTGTGGAGCGCATAATCACACACGTTTTTATTGTGCATGCAAGTTTTAATGTATGTTTGTCTCCATGTGTATGTTTGTGTATGATTGCATTTAAGAAATTTATTAAGAGATATTATATCAATTTTTATTAAACTTAAGTAAAATTATCGATAAGGATGTGATGTGACGAGGTTTTATGCTGGGTTTGAGACTAACGGTAGGCAGTCTTATGAAGCCATATTCACAAATTATAACAAAATATACTGTGCAGTGCACAGATCTGCCTGAGACTACAATTCTGGCAGGGTTTGCTTTTTTTTAATCCGACACCGAAAAAATTAAATCCGGTACAACCACTTATAAAAATACGCTTGATTGAAATTTTGATTAATTTTAAATAGAAGTTATTTATTTGTTTTGTGTTATTTTCGTTCTTCGTCTTTTGAATTTGAGGTGAAAGTACTTGTACTTCTACTTGGACTATAGTGCTTGTAGTTGTACTTGTGGGCTAGGTACTTGCACTCGTACACAGAAAAAATTTTTCGGTACTTGTTTTTGAGACTGAGTACTTGAAAACATCTCCGGTTTGATACAGTAAATTAAAAATAAGCAATTAATTAGCAAACAAATGAGCAAAATTAATTGAAACGATTTAAATAAATAAACTAACGACAAATCAAGCCGTCAAGATCAGAGACTTCAAGCTGGTTGGTATAAAAATTATAATTATTTTCGGATAGAAAATTTTTCAAATTGGATATACTAATCAGTGATTTAAAGATTATTTAAAATAAATCACAATCTGAAACGATAATAAAATGAATTTATTTCAGAGAAACCTTTCCATTATGTATTCTATTTGTATACCAAGCACGCTCAACATACACACTGTTAAGTAGAATGAAACATTTGCAAAATATTTTGTTAGATTTGTACATTTAATTATTTTTTATAAGACAGATAGAACACCAGAGTTTTAATGATATGACTAGAAGTACTAAAGCAGTCATCGTATGCACCAAGTTGTTCGTCAGTTGCAATAACCTTTTTAGATCCAGCTGTAACATACTCAGTCAAACTAATGACATTATAGTTGATGATGAGTCCAAGTTGTTTGTATTTGTCAATATCGCAATTGTTTATGATGAGGCTCTGGACGTTGTCGAAGCAGGGTCCCAGAGGCGTGCAGTAGCAATCAGCATTAGGAACTCTGGGATCACATGGTCGGTCAATTAGATCTGCTCTCTAGAGTGCAAATAATAAATCGATAATAATCAAAACATTTGTTTAAAAAAGTACAAATACACGATATAATTTTTTTTTGAATTTGAGGCAATTTGGTCCATAATGGAAGAAACTGAATAAGTATACACGCGCGCGCACGCCACACACACATACACACACAAACAAACACAAACTGTTAAGCAATCTTAAATTGGTTTGAACATTCACGATGAAAAATTATTAAAAAAAATATTTTTATTAAATCATATTTGTTATGAACAGTTTTGAAATTATTATTCAACCAACGGAAAGCGAAACAAAAAAGCCATTGTGATCATAGAGGTCTATCAATTTGGGTGATGTTTCGACATTATTTACGGTTTGTTATTTCACTATTATAACAGTGAAATAATTTTTGTAAAAAAATATAATCCGATACTTTTCGTCTTGCAACAAGGCCTTTTCTCTGTTTAACTGATTGAGCGCCATTCAATACGGTGGTCGGTTCAGGACTGTTGGTGGTTATCGTGTAATTTATCTCTTTTATGCCTCCGATCGTGTTTGTCACATAAATATCTAACCTGTTTCATTAATGGTTATTATACTTTTGCATTTGCCATTCCATCGAATTGCCGTTCAACGAAAGTTTATAATTTATGAAAATATTAAAAGATCACAAAAAGATATTTATACATACGCTGAGTAACCATCGTCATCAGAATATTTGTGGAAGTCAGTCTTGCTGATTACGAAGCGAGAATTGAAATCAAAATATGTTTTGGATGTCAGCGACAAATTACCTGAAAACGAATGAATGTTCACCCATATTATTATCGTTTTTCCTTCTACCAGGCTGCTCGTCGGAATGTCTATGAATAAGTTTTCTTTATCAGTATCGGAATATGTTAAGTTATCTGGTGTGGCGATGTTGACAGCGAACTGATCTGCAAGTCTGTAAGCATATGAAAAGCCAGCATATGCCAGCAGCTGTGAGCTATCTACGATATCAATGGATCTTATTCCATATTTATTTCCATACTGATCATCAATGCCATCAATCCTTAAATCTTGCCACGATTTAACTCTATACAACCATTCGGGCATGAAATTGTTTTTGTAGTGGCCCGTCCAATTCAGAGAAAATCTTTTCACGCCATTAGCATCTTCTAAATGATTTGGCGACCTCAAAACATAGAGGGAGCCGTTTTGAATGGCCGTTGGCCCTTTAAAAGTCATTGGAACCTGCGTTTCAACAAAGAATTTGTCGTTGTATGTAACGATCTTTCGAGCTTTCTGCTTGTTGCCAGCATTATCGTATGCCGTAATCTCTATGGAGTAGGTTCCTAGAACGCAAATGACATTTTTGAGGGAGAGTTTAATATTTTGAATAGAGTTTTAAATATCAACAGAACGTAAATGTAAGCAATACCCGGTTTGGGGCATATAAAGTAAAAGTCATCAAGTGTCACGTTGATGACTTTTTTGGTGAGGCTCTGAACGTTGACCAACAAATTTGAAGCGTCGGGCTGCATGTAGAAGACTTCGGCCTCGTAATAATTTATGCCCGAATGAATGTCTGTCCAATCTACAAACTTCGGAAGTAATTTCGGATTCTGAAAATGAAATTTGAAAATTATGTATTTTGAATACAAATTATAAATTTAAAATAACTAAATAAACATTGTACAGGTCTAAAAAAAATTTATTTTATTATAAAAATTGTATACATAAAATATTTCAATGTTCCAGTTTTTGAAACCTGAGTGGACTGAGTTATATAATTAAAAAGGACGTACATTCGTAATAGTTTCGTTCAGCGTGATAGGGAAAGCAGGACAATTTTTATTCTGTTTCAAGCAGTGGGTTGGTGCTTCATAGTCAAAGGCAAATTTAACTCTACGTGTTGTTTTGTTGTTTGAAGATTCAGTGAAAGTCTGTTCAGGGAAAGATCCTAAATCTTTTTGCGCGTTCCCTTGCTTGCTGCCTCCAACAATTGAAAACACTTCCAACGTGAAACTAAAGTTCAATGAAAAAAATTTGTCACAAGTCAAAAAAATATTTTTTTATTAATAAATTAAATAATAATTTAAATTAATTAAAAAATAATTGGTGGCTATAAATTTGTATTAGCCTTTCATAGAGACGTACCTAGCGTTGTTAGACGCATCCAATCCAATGGAATTCCAGTTTATACTTGTTGATGGGCATTGGACAATTGAGTTTTCTCTAATTGCGCAATTGACAGATGCTAATATGTTTCCTACGTTAAATAGAATTTAAAGATTTCATATAAGTAGGCAAATTAAACTATGAGGAATTAATGTAACGGAACAAATTAAAATTAACGTTTTACACTTTGAAAGCAAAGTTTTAATCTTTCATGAAGTGCAAACCAAGTTAAAAAATTTAAACGTACCTACAAGCCATTTGTTTGAATTGTTCATAAATAAACTGAATTGTAACAACAAAAATTATACAAATAAAATAGATGCTAAATTAAGTTCATTGATTTACAAATTGATTTGGTTTGATGTAATATGTAAAATAAATGGCGTTCCATATTATTAACTTAACTGGCTGAACAAGCAGTTTACCACTAGATGGGAAGTCACAAGAGCAGTCTAAAAATGAAGGCAGAACTGTATGCATGACTTGAATAAATTTGTATTATTAAGCTGGAGAGAGCAACATTTAAATTCTGTTTATATTTTGTTTGTTTGTATAAAAAACGTGACAGCTGAAAACTGCTGATAAGCAAGAAATCTCTCATGAATTCTAACAGAAAAGCGTTCTATAGTTAATTAGGTATTTGTAGTATAGGATGTATCGCTTCAACAATTAAGCCATCCCGATTTTTACTATAATAGATTCATTGTTAATACTTTACACGTACGCGAGTAACTTTGTCGAATTAGGTTTCTTGAAGCACAATGTAAAACAAATTATTTTACACAATTAATATTATGTCACAGATAAATATGTCCACAAACCTTTATTGTCAATTACATTGTAGCCGGTGCGGTTAATCCCAATGTTTGCAGGTGCATTTAAAACGTAAGGAGCTGCACTATTATCCGGCAAATTTTGTTTATCATGTTGAGCTTGCCAATTCATCTCAATTTTTATGACATTCTTAGTACCTATCCAGACAGTGACGGGATCTTTGCCTGATCCGACGGGAGTGCATGTATCCGCCTGTGCAACCACCTGCTCAACGCCATTTTCTGTCAATTTGCCATACACCTTGGCACTACAGTCAGGAATCGTCGATCTACTTTCAACTGAATTTAAAATATTTTAAAATTTCAAGTTTCAATTAAAATAGAAATCTTGTCTTTCGAAAAAATCATTTCTAAAATGTCATTATTCAAAGGAGAAATGTTGGTATGATGAGTTATCATTGCGTACATAGTTTTGGCATGTTAATTATTGACAAGTTAAATTTTAAACCATAATGTAAGTTTTTTAAGCATTTTTATTTAAAATAGTTGACGTACACAAAATTATTTTGATAAAATTTCCACGCTAATAGGGAGTTAAATATTTTTGCAACTTCGTTCAAACTTTAGTTAC